GGGACCAAAATCCAAATACTGTGGTTTGCTAACCCGAAAGCTTGGGTGACTGCAGCAGCACTGCAAGGTTTCTAAAGCAAAAAAACAGAGTCTTTGCCAGTGGTCTTCACACAGCTTAGCCTTGGGAGGACTGGGCTGAGCAGCCTCAGAAGGTTCTCTCCATTGCTCTGAACCTCATGAAGGCATTAGCATCTGTGTAAACAACTCTCTTATCAGGATAAATATGAGGTCTTCTTCCATAGCACTGTTGGAAATGGCCCTGCAATGTGCAATTAGAGCTCTTCTATCCAGGAATGAGATTTGAAAGAAAATAAATAAACTTTTCCCACAGATTTCCACAGACTAGGCTAGCTCAAGCCAAGCATTAATCTCTATAAGGAGGGAAGAAGATCAAAAAGCCTGAGATAATGAGAACTTCACTGATCACTGTACTAGCTCAGGCTTAGCAGAGGTCCTGTATTGCCCCAGGTTCTCTCCTCCTGAGCTATGTTTATTATCTCTCTACTTTCTAGGACCCTTGGATCTTTATTTCAGCTTCTGGGAAGTTGGCCTCTTCGATTTGTTTTTCTCAATTTCATTAGCATATTACTTCCCCACTGAACACCAGAACTTTTCAGCTTTGAAGACCACACTCAGAGAAACAGGTAATGTCATACCCAGCTGAGTCTCAAGGACATGTGAATGGAAAGTCCGTGCCTGAGAGAGAAGGGGGGACTCTGGCTTGTCCTTCCCTCATACAGAGTGAGAAAGTCTTTCACTGTCCACCAGCCTTGCCATAGGGTGGGTACTAAGGAGGCTGGTGCACAAGATGCTGTCAGGGTTTTGCTGATCCCTTTCTATCTGTGCCCATGTTTCTAATCACAAGTGGAGACCTTGAGAGGGATAGTTTGTGTTGACCACACATCCTGAGGCATCCTAAGACAAGCATGGCTGTGATGGGACCAGCTTTGAGGTGGAAGGGCCTAGACCCACCTTATCCTGGAAGGAAACACCAAAAATGCTTTCATTGTAAGCCTTATTAGCATAAAAATTATAGCACTTTATTTCCTAAGGAAAGGTAAAGCAACTAGTCAAGACAGAATGGAAAAGCAAAGATTTATAATTAAAATCTCCTTTCCTGCTGTGACTTTGCAGGTGGGTTCTTGTTTCCAGATTTGATTTCTGTCAACTCAGTGGCTCTCTGAGTTGCAGCAAACTCTCCACAGTTCCTCTGCCCCAGCAAGCTTTTTTCTCTGTCATCTATGAGTCCAGGCCCTGTCCCTCTTTGGTGTCTGCTTGCCCAAGGGCCAGGCTCCAACCCTTTGCACACCTTCCAGTCTCTTGCTGTATCCTCACATTCTCCATCACGGCCTGGCACAAATAATCTCATCACGCTCCAGCCCGTCGCCCTACTCTGGCTGCTTTTCAAGAAGAAGGATAATACATAAACCGAGAACAAACAAATCAGATACTGTTCATCACAGTGGCCCTTCTGCACTGCAAAAGCTTTTGTCTCCCAGGTCTACCTGTCTCCTCCAAATCTGGTCCGAGATCCTCAGGACAGTCCTCTCTTCCCAGTTGGCTCTGGGATCAGTTCTGCCTACCCTGATTCATCTCTGCACCTCCCCTGCATTTCTATTGGTTTTTCCCATCCCTTAGGGTAGTAGCTCAGAGTGTCTCTCTTCCTTCTACTGGGGTGAGAGGGAGACACATATCCTTTCCTTCATCGTGTCTGACATGCACTTGCATTTCTAGCCCAGGAGAAAAAAAAAAAAAACAGTGTAAAAAAAGTGATCCAAAAATAAGCAAGCTCACAGACAATATGTGTTGTGATTTTTTCAGACCTTGTATTCAGAGTTTGGTTTAGTTACGGGATCAGGTTATGAGATAGTTTGATTGATTGATTGATTGATAACCTATTTTTATTCTTGTGTGGCTTAAAGCCTGAATACTTAAAGCCTTCTTCTTAAACGTGTCCAGATCTTAAGGAAGCAAAGAGTAAGCTGGTGGGATTTTCAGAAGTACCAATGCATCTTCTGCATCTCTTGGCTCTTAAGTGCATTTAAAAATCTGCTTCTCAGTGTCAACTCAATTAAGGGAGTTACTATTTATATAGTAAATCAGTGCTGACACTTAAAATTTTAAAAACCCACGTCCAAACATGACAAGTGATACCATGAACTGATGTCGATTTAAGGTGAGGCCTTCAGTTATGATAGGCATTTATCTGGGTCCAAATAGCAGAGACTGAATGTGTATTTTAAAGAGAATATCATCCCAATTTTTACTGGCCTCTTTCTCTTAACTCAGGAATGGAGTGGCTGTTATTTGACTTTTGACACCAAAGAAAGGCATTTCAGCACCTAGTAAATACAGGAAACATCCAAGTAGCTCCCTAGTCCTGGACAAGATTCTAGGTTTCCAGTATAGCCACTGAATATGCCTAGCTCCAGATCAAAAATGATCTTTTGTTAGAGTAACTTCCTTATGGAATATGAAGACCAAAGAGGTTTCATCCACATCATATCCTCTTACAGGAATTCACCAAACCCAATATGTCTGTACAGCTCTTTCTCTTACCTGCTTTCAGGCCCTGGCATCAACAAATCTTAGTATAGAATCTCCCATGATGAGTTATGACTGCCTGGGGAGTCCAGCACAAATGAGTGCAGAGCTTTAACACTTCTCACTAAGTCTTCCAATCAGTGAGAGACACATTTGAGGGAAGTCAGGCTGCTGACATGCTAAGGTAACTTTGCACTTCTTTGCTTGCCCATGCTCATCTAGTTTTAGATTTTCATTGCAAACTCCTTGGAAGACGAATCATTTTCATGTCTTATATCTGTCAAGGCACAGTGAGAGTAGAAAAATGGCACCTTCATAGTCTGGCAGTAATCCTTCTAATGATGCAAAGTGCTGGATTATTGGTTCTTCCTAGAAGTACAGCTCCACAGGGCAAGTGTTTTTCTCTCCTTTCTTTTTTTGGATTATTACACCAGTGTAGCCCCCTTGTTCTTTTGTTTTCAGGAACAATAGTAAAATATAAACAGCAAAAAAATACTAAAATAGTAAACAGACTGCTCCAGGCCTCATGGTAAGCAGGTAACAGACCAGAATTGGTGCTTTATTTACCTCTCTGCAGAAGAATTGGTTTCAACCTTAGTATTTGTGAAGACAGGAAACCGTTCAGCAGAGCTAATTAACCCAATCAATCAGTGGAGTTTTTTGGCTTGACAGAGATGTTTCAGAGATATTACTTGAAAGTCCTGTTGTACTTCAAAGGAAAGTCAGATAAAAGCATTATTCTCAGGCTCCACAGATGGCAAAACTTGAGATTATGTTCCTTTCTGCAGAAACTGGTGGTGCTGCTCTCTATCATGCAGAAAGCTCTTCTGGTATGGTCCTGTCCACCTAGGATGTATGTGGGAAATTTTGTTTGCTGCTTGGTCTTCTTTAGAACAGTTTGTATGCACTCAAACATGTGGAGGAGATAAAATGTTAATCGCTGTGCACCAGAGCACTCACCCGATCACAGTCATGACAAAGCCCTAGCAGCAGTTGGAATGCCTTGGCCTGAGATCTGTTCCTCGTGGGGATGTGGAGGAGCTTTTCAATCAGCACTAGTTAAATCTGCTCAGGGCTCCAGGGAAATGATAGATAAATGAAGGCAAAGTGTCAGGTGCTGCATTTTATGTTTTTCTCTCCTGTGCTTCTTCCTGACCAGCATACATTGAGCTGTGCCTCAGGGACTGAGTGCCCGTGCTGATTATGAGTGAGCAGAGTCACGTGAACAGCCTGTTCCTCAATGAGGATGCAGCCAAGCGACTCAATGCGGAGAGCCGGGTGCAGCGCTTCCAGCAGGTGGTACAGAAGCGGGCAGCACGGGCCAGGAAGCGGATGCACAGCATTACTGCGGACAGCGTTAAAAGCTTCTTTAGGAGAAATGCCTTTGTCCTCCTCACCATTGCAGCAGTCCTACTTGGTATGCAGCTGGTGGCAACATTGGGCACCATTTATAATTGTGGGGAAAACTCCATCTGTGCCCCAAAGATTTTATTTTATTGTAATGATTTGGCTGGGGAGGTGAAGGTAAAGAACACTTGCGCCTGAAGCTGTATTCACAGAAAGCCTCTGAACAAACTTGAATGATATTTATGAGAACTAGTAGAGCTGGATCAGCAAACCCTTTCTGTTGTAGATTGTGTCCAAGCTCCAGCCAGAAGGGGACAATGAGGACTCCCTCACACACATCCTCTGCAAGGACTTTTGATCCCCCACACAAAGTTGTTTGTGATCTGGACAATATTTTGACCACTGCTAATCAGCCAGCCTCAAGTTGAACTCCAAATGGAGCAGTCTTACCAGAGGTTTGCTGGAAGCATTATAACCATGCTGTTTTTTTAGTCAGGTAAAAAGTATTCCCAGAGCTTTAGCTCTATAGTACCAAAGGGGGGACTGAGGCAAAGGACTGTGATAAAATGCACACTAAAGCTGCCCAGCAGATAGTGGATTGTCCCTAGTTTTTAACGCAGGCTGGTTGTCCCTGTCTCACTGGCTGAGCTCAGTCACTTAGTCACAATAGATTGATGGGTGAAGTCTGTGAGCTGTGTAGTCACACTAAGGTTACGCTAGGGAATCACTATCTGGTCACAGCATTTTTGTGTCAATGAGCATCCTGGGAACAGACCCCAGAAGAGTAGCAGACTGCAGCCAGGGAACTTATGATTCAGTACAAGGCTCCTGTGTGTGTGTGTGTGTGTGTGTGTGTGTGTGTGTGTGTGTGAAAGAGAGAGAGACAGAGACAGAGACAGAGACAGAGAGAGACAGAGAGAGAAAAAAAGCATATAGCAAAAACTGGATCATAGTGTTTTGGAAGAAGAAGGAGCATTTGCTCCTTTGGGCAGGGGAAGAACTGAAAGAAGAGGGAAAGAAAAGCCATGATGTAGGACTGCGTGAGGGACGGCTCACACTCTGCCATTTCCATTCTCATCCCTTGTTTCACAGGGATCATCCTGGCTTTTTCCCTCCGGCCCTACCAGCTGACCTATCGCCAGATCAAGTATTTCTCCTTCCCTGGCGAGCTGCTGATGCGTATGCTCCAGATGCTGGTTCTTCCTCTCATTGTCTCTAGCTTGATTACAGGTGAGAAGAGCCTACTGGTGCCTGTAGCCAAGGCAATACTCTGCAAAGACTGTTGCTAGATGTTGCTGAGGTCCCTCTTCATGCTCTGGCTGCAGGTGCTTAGATAAGCTTGACAATAGCGAAAAGCCTAAGCCTACAGCCGTAATCAACATGATCCAAACTCATAGCCCTGCTGGCTCAGTACTGGGGAAGAGACGCTTTCTCAGAAGAATGGGAGGGATGCAATGTGGTGTTTCCAATGCCCAATATTTGAGCACTGACAAGGATTTCATCCTGTGTAAATTTAAACTTTTTGAAAAGTTTGTTGTCCAAGTTTGATCTAGACTTCCTCCAAACCAGGAAAGGGAGCTGAGCACTACCCAAGGTTAATTTGTGCTAATCCAAAAGAGCAGGAATTGATCACCCAATGGAGTGTCTGTTTTGTTTGGGTCCTCACAGAAGACACCCCAGAGAGTCAGCTTTCAGAGAGTGGAAGGGGGGGGTGCGGTGCATACTACCCTGTGCTAGGTCCCACCAATAGGGATTTAAAGACCCAGGGCAGTTTTTTCCCTTCCGAGAAGTTTAGGAGGAAGCTGCTATATTCCAAACCTCAGCTGGAGACCCACCAGTGCTATGTGTCTCCCTCTGACTCCTAGGGGAAACTGTTGTTCTAGTCCTCTTCCATCATTGTCCTATCCCTTTTATATTCAGGTTTCTTCATAGCCACCAGCCACTTTCTCCCATATCTTCATCATCCTGGAGCTCCAAGTCTGCCCCTTGTGTGCCATGCTCCTTACAGACCCTAGCTCCCTATCCAACTCATGCATGTGACTGCCATACTTTGAATCTTCCTCCAGCTTTCCCCTTCCAAGTTAAGATAATAGACCTTCTCACCTGGTTTCCCTGTCAACTCCCCAGGTATGGCCTCGCTTGATGGCAGAGCCTCAGGGAAGATGGGGATGCGGGCTGTGATCTACTACATGGTGACCACCATCATAGCAGTCTTCATTGGCATCCTCATGGTGATCATCATCCACCCAGGAAAAGGATCTAAGGACAAGCTCCATCGAGAAGGCAGAGTTGAGCAGGTGCAGACCACAGATGCCTTCATGGATTTAGTGAGGTAGGTGAACAAGCTTGTTGTTGTGTAAGAACATGTTGGACAGCGAGATTACCTTCCTCCACTGCATGTCCTTTTGAAGTGTCACACCCTTAGACACACAGTTAGGGGAAGAGAGGTTTCTGGCTGAGATTTGCCTTGCCTACCACTTCTAGTAGGGGGACTCCCTTCTTGCTTGTCAGGATGTCAGGAAGCAGAGACCTTGTAACAACTGACTACTAGGGCTTAAGCTGGTGCTGCCCATGTTTAGGCTTCTGGTTCTGGGGGTAGGAAGTGAGCACAGGTGCCCTGTGAACCCTGGCTCTGAGCTTCCAGGATCTTCACCGCTGTTCTGAAAATGCCCTCTCTGATGGCTATATTCTGAGGGTTTCAAGATGAACAATCAGTGGCAGGCTAACCAGGAGGAAGCTTCTGTTAGAAAAGCTTGTGAAGACAACACTTTCCTATGAAATGTCTTGACAAATTAACGCTCCCCAGTGGAAAATATTCTATTGAAAAACCTCTGACCAGTGCCACCATCCAGGAACCAAATCACCAGTCATGAGGACTAAGTGCTGACAGGAGATCAGTCAGAAAAATACGTGAGAGATATAAAGGCTAACCACAGTGGCCCAGAGTATCTGAATGCTCTGGATTCAGCTGGGAGTGACTGGATGAAGCAAAGAAAGGAGCCATTTGGACTGAACATCCCTGGGGCAGATGAGATATGATCCTTCATGGGACTTATCTCCCAAGGGACACAGCATATCTAATGGGGTCAGTACTGCTCCAGCACCCAAGAGAGGGATGGGATGGACATGCACGTTCTTTCCCTCACTGATCAAATGCCTGCATGCTACTGAAACAGAGTTGCCTGAAATAGGGCTTAAAATAACCCACACCTAGGCCTCACAACAGGAACACAGACAACCAGCGTTGACTATAGCAGAGTGAGAGCTAAGAGTCAACTGCAGGGACTCCCTTCTGCCAGACATTGCTGAGGGACAAACTGACTGTTGATGAAGCCTCGTGGTTCAAGCCATTTATAAGCGCTCTTGGCTTAGCACCAGGGAAGTAGCTGAGCTGACAGTCCTTTTCCAGCCTCAGGACTGCCACGCTGTGCCATACTTACATGGGAGCTCTTATGCTGAATGTTCAACATCTATTTCTGCTGATTTGAGCTCTGCAGTCCTTGTGTGTGAACAGGGCTCAAAGCAGGCAGCTAACATTGGCATACAAAACCATACTGTCTCTATTTCTACTAACTGATTGAATCTGGAGGATTTCTGTGGAGGGAAAGGATTTGGTCTTTTGAGGTCACCATTCTTCAGCAACCAGCAGTGGGCTACCAAGATAGTAAGGGGCTTAGAGCTCATGCTCTAAAAGGACAGGCTGAGGGAACTGGGCTGGTTCACTCTGGGGACTAAGGGATACTCTAATAGCAGCATACAGCTACTTCAGGGTAGTTACAAACATGACAAAGCCAAAGTCCTCTCAGTAATGGCAAACATGGTAACAAAGGGTGCTAGCCACAGATATTGGCTTGAGAGATTCATGTGGGGCATTAGGAAAAGCTTCTTGCCCAAGAATGCAGCCCCAGGACAGGTCACCAGAGATGTGGAGGATCTTTGTCCTTGAGAGTTTTCAAGACTTGGCTAGACAAAGCCATAGCCAGCCAGATCTAGTGTTTGCAATAGTTCCACTTTGAGGGGGACATTGAACAAGGAACTTCCAAAGGGCCCTTCCAGCCAGCACTTCTATGATCTATGTTTTATGCTTAACGCCCTGGAAAGATAGGAAGACAGGTGTATAGCGAGAAAAATCACAAGGCTCATTCATGGTGTGTAGACCTGTAAGAGTTACTCCATCCCTCACTCCACTCTGAGCTTTTAGGATTTTGTCTGCATGTATGGAAAGGTTGCATGGTTCCAGATCACAACAGGGTCCATCTGCTCTGTAGCCTGACCTGGCATTGTGATTGTTGTGGCTAAAGACACTGCTCCATGACATAGGCATTGGCCAGAAAGACCGTGTTTGCTTGCTAGTCAAACAGGTCCATAACTCATTCCTTGTTTTATCTACTGCAGGAATATGTTCCCACCCAACCTGGTAGAAGCCTGCTTCAAACAGGTATGAAATCCTACCACCTCTCTTTGTGCCCTGTGCAGTAGACCATGGCCCAGCCTACTTTTCTGATGGGGGAACAGGGATTGCTTTATAAGGCTTTCACACTTCCCCAACTCTGACTGCTCCAGGAGGCATTGCAGTCATCAGTTAGTATTATAGCAACCCCCAGTCAAGCTTTTCAAGCTGCCCTCTAAACTGCTTCAAACTCCAGAGCAGATAGAGTAGAGCAGCTCTAGCTTCCTACCTCCAACTCATCCCACACTAAGTCAGAAAGGGCTAGTGTGATCTCAGGTAGCAGATTTGGATTGCCAGTGAAGTGGGAGCAGATCCTCCACAGATTTGTCTCTTTCATAGTGCTAGTACCCTTGGAAGCAGTATAAAGATCTGTCACAGGAGCCAGAATATCTGAGCCCAAGAGTTGGGGGTTCTCTAGCTGTGCTCCAAGATAGACACCATTGCCTGTTGGTAAGTAGCACGTTGCTGCAGTCACGGGGTTCAATATTAGAGGAAGGAACATTACCGTGCATAGAAGAATCTATCAGGCAGCAATCTTTATTATTTTTATAAAGCTGGCACATTGTGATTTAATGCAACTGAATTAAAATTATATGTCTAGGAATGAAGTGTGGAGAGCCCTACAAAGAGAGAGAGACCATATCCTGGTCTCTCAGAAAGCAGAGGTTCTGCAAAGGGTGTGGGGATATCGCATGTAACATGCAAGTGACCACGAACCTTTACTCTATGGTTAGATAGTCTAATGTGAGCCATAGATTTCCAAGCAGAGAAGAAGGAGGAAGCTCATTTCATATCTGTACCTCTCACTGGAAACAGAAATGCTGGGTACAGTTAAACTATCTGCTTTTTAGGGATTCCTAAAAAATTAGAAAGATATAGCAACGTACTATGATGCCGAGAAAAACTGTTCAAGGATTAGAGATAAGTGAGTAGCTTTAGGAGCTCAATCTGTTTAGCTTATCAAAAGAAGAAAGAGGCTTTGACTTGCAAGAGTGCAATTACCTCCAGAGGGGAAAACAAAGGTGTCAAAGAGATGTTAAACCCAAAGGATGGGCATGGGGTTAGAAGTTACAGTGACTGTAAAATGAGAACAGCAGTTCAAATGGCAAGGTAGGTGCATTTCTTAACAGTGGAACAAACTGCACAGGGCAATGTGGAATTCTGTGTCTTTTGGTGTTTTCAATTTGAGTTTAAAAAAGATGCTTGAGCCATATACAACCACATGACAGTAGGTGTAATAAATGAACCTGGGTTAAGTTCGCTAGATGTTGCAATGGGCTCTTTTGGCCTTAAGATAATATGAACTTTTGGATCTAAGCGCTAACCTAGGGAGTTTGAGGAGAACAGGCAAGGCAAGTTTTCCAAACAGGTCAATAGAAACTTGGAGTACTCTTCTTTCTTTGGAATGGGATGCAAGAGCCTAGCATGTTATCCAGATCTCCCGAACCAGGGCCTGTCAATACATCTCATAATCTGTGTCATTTCAGTACAAGACACAGTACACCACCAGGGTCTTCACCAGAACCGTCCTCCACAGCAGCAATGTCACAGCAGGTGTCACAACCACTCAGATCTCTGTGCCTGAGAACTTCACCAGTGTCCTGGAGAACGTCACTCATGCCCTGGGGACCCTCTCCGAGGTGCTGACCTTTGAAGAAGTCATTCCCATCCCGGGCTCGGCCAATGGGGTGAACGCGCTGGGGCTGGTAGTGTTCTCCATGTGCTTCGGTTTGGTGATCGGCAGCATGAAGCAGAAGGGACGGGCCCTACGGGAGTTCTTTAACTGCCTCAACGAAGCCATCATGAGGCTGGTGGCCATTATCATCTGGTGAGGAGCACAGCTGGTTGAAGCAGGAGGTCTGCAGGTGCAGTTTCCACTGACCTGATGAGAAATGGGGTAGCTTAAAGGATAACACACAGGAAAAGCAGATGGGCACAGCGCTCTTTTGGCTCCATCAGCCTGGAGGGAAAAGTCTGCATGGGATATCTGTTTACATTTCATTTCCTGTGTTTTGTTTTAACCTTATAAAGAGCAGGTACACCAGTACATGCTTTCCTTGAGGCAGCTGGGAACCAGAGCAGAAGATCTCTTAGCCTTACCAACAGGGCTAGGGTGTGAGGCTCTCCCACAGAAAGCTTTCCTTCCAGCTATGTTTCAGGAGTCTGACCTAGCTATGAATAACTGAATGCCACTTACCTGCCACTCAGGATGGCACCTTTATGCAGCAGCTCTATGAATTGAGCTGGGTTGGCAAGATCAGCTCAGAGGTACTGCCTTTCAACTTGAGGTGTCCTAGATCCCAACTCTAGAGCTCAGCTGGCTGTTGCTTCCTATGTAAGGCTGTCAGTGCTACATGGTCCAGATCAGCAAAGTATTACTGAGACAGGTCTTCTCTAGAAGACAGCATTTTACCAAATCATGTTATTCTAAGTTTTTTTACCCAGCTGGAGCTCAGGCTCTGAATAGGAGCTTGTGGAAGGTGCCATGAGACAGGAGAGGAGGGAGACTCAAGGAATAGAATACATGGGCAATATGTGAGAAGGAAGGGATCTGTCAGACCCACATTCTCTCCTCTGTTCTAGGTCACTTCAGCTTCCTTTCCCTTCTAGTCACAGTCTCAGAACCTGGGCACAAGGGGACAGGCCTTATGCAGAAAGACAGAAAGGAGAAACACAACTCTGAGTTCATAGCAGAGAGATTCCCTTCATGTGTAGCCTCAGCCCCTCCAGCATCTTTTCCTCCATGAATGAGTTTGAATCTGGTGCCTTGCCTCATGAGAGATAAAAGACACCCAAGGCAATGAAGGGAAAGCACACATTGGAATGAGTGGACCTATTCACTACTCTCAGAGCCAATTTCCAGCTGCCTTCAACTCCTCCTTACTGTGAAGAAAGAGAGGGTGTTGAGATATATAAATTTATATATATATATATATAGAGCACATTTGTTACACACAGGAAACTGCCTGAGCGCATGCTGTCCTCAAAAGTGAATAGCAGGTAGTGTCTGGAGAGACCTGACTTCTAAAATTGTGCTGATATGGGAGGCAGGACCATTAGCTGAGGCCCAGCACAGCTCACCAGTGTTCATGGGCTCAGCATTGGCCTGTTCAGAAATTAGTCCACATCCTCTCCCTCCTCCCAGTTGCCAATTTTCTCTGGCCCTGAAATCAGCCATGCCTGAAAGTGCCACACCTTGTAGCTGCCCCACTAAATACGTTGCTCCTGAAAGCTCCAGAAATATGGGGCACGCTGCAATCCTTCCTTAAGCCTGTCCCCACCGTCTGCAGGGCTGGATGGAATCTCCCAAGATTCTGGCATTTTTTTCCTGGAGAGATCTGGTCACTATCTGCAGCCAAGAATGTCTTTTGAGAAGTAGGTCAGAGGAAATGAAATATTTGTGAAATCCTTTCCTGAACTTTTCCAAAGTTCCCAGGCTGACTTGGAGTTTGGCATGTGGACCTTTGAGCCTTGCGCATGAATTGCATGTGAGCTCCCAAGCTGTGTGAGGCGAAGCCCTGAGAAGTGTGGCCATGGAATTATGGTTCTCTTTGGTCCAGTTATTGTCCATGTTCAGTTTAGTACCCATGACATTCTCCATGTCTGTGTTACGGCTTCCTTCCTGTGGAGCCTCACCGCTGCTCACGACGTGCACTGTTATCGGGAAAAAAAGCTGTAAGGAATGCAAATGATAGGTGTACCTCAAAAAGGGGTTGCAGAAGATCCAGGGCTGTTTGGCAGGTTTTGGTGTGCCCACTCCTTGCTATACCGTCTATGGACCCCCTGTATGTTGTGAACTCTAAAGACAGCAAAGCTAACATTTCAGAGCTTACAGAAGACTTAACACTTTTATTTCTCCCTTCCTTGTTACTTCTGTACTTCTCCATGCCTCTCAATAAAAAGATACCCTCTGTCCGAGTTTTGTTAGGGAAGGAAGGGACTATCAAGACTCCTTTAGACAACCCTCCCCAGAAATACCAGCGGGAGTGTTGAGGAGATGTATACAGGGAACCCAGAAGGAGGAGGAAACCTCCCCCAGTATCCAGGTTGTGCACACAGTAGAGTACTGAGGTCCCTGACAGTGCAATAAGTGCTGTTGTTTGAGCATACAGCAGAAAAGTCCCAGCTCTCTCCAGGTTGCCAGAGAAAAAACAGCAGTATCATCCGATAACTAGGCTCAGCCAGCACTGCTTTACTGCAGATTTGTCCAGAAAGCATGGATTAAAGCAGGTGTGGAAGCCAGTTCTGAGCATGGCCCTTGTGTTTCTGCCACAGGTATGCCCCAGTTGGGATCATGTTTTTAATTGCCGGCAAAATCCTGGAAATGGATGACTTAGCAGTGATGGGGGGCCAGCTGGGGATGTACACGCTCACTGTCATCGTTGGACTGCTTATTCATGCCCTCTGCATCCTGCCACTGCTCTATTTCATCGTCACCCACAGGAACCCTTGGGTATTCATTGCAGGGCTTCTGCAGGCCCTCATCACAGCCCTGGGCACTTCCTCAAGGTATGCTGGCTACATAGCCTCTAGAAGGAATAGGGTTGGGGCTGGTGTGGACACTCTGTGCCTGCTTCTCAGTACTTCCATTGCTCTCAGCGCAGCACTGAGGTCTCACAATGTCTGCACTGAGCAAACAGACACTGAGCACTATGAGCTCTTTGTACTGGTCCAGGCAAGATTACTAGGAGTGGAAAGATCTCCACTCCCCTGCTCAGGAGCCCTAATCACATAACCATCTCCAACTATCAGTGCATGACCCACATTTTTCCTTACCAGAATATGGTGATGACTGCTTGCACCACTGAAAGGCTGAGCTCAGGACACAAATCAAATCCCACTACATTGCAGGATTATTCCCCAGGCACCTACCTCTCACACACGTGTACATTTCTCTCTTTCTCTCATGCATAGTCTGTGTGCATGTAGCACTAGACTCCTAAGAGGGCTAGGCAGAGGCACAAACACCCCTATGCTCAGTGACTCACACTGCCAAGCAAGACAGCCAAAGTGTGGGATTGTACAGGTAGCTATTGTTTCATTCAAGTGCTGTGTTTCTTGCCATATTCTTTTTCTGGCAAGCATGTACAATCTCTCCCAGGTGTATTCTCACACAGGAACATTAGCACTTTTCTTGCTCATGTTCCCTTTCAGAAACTATTCTCTGCCACCCGTTTTCTCTTCAAGATATATTCTCACACAAGGGTCATTCTTGTCTTATGCACTAAGGATGGGAGAAAGGGCTCGAGTTTATTTAATAGCTGAAAGGAAGCTTGACCTTGAGACTCTGTCATATGCACCCTGAATTCCCCAGCGTCACTATTCTTGGTGTTACACCAGCATCACCAGCATCAGGGCTACACATCCCCTGTCCCAGTCCCCTGAGGAAAGCAACTGCAGCATGCACCATATCTGAGGAAGCCTTGCTTAGCCTGTTCTTTCTCCTAGCAGCATCTGGCCTCTGGTTCACATGACAGGGTGAAAAAACAGGTGGGTAAGGTCATAAACTAGGCAGAGGCTTAGTCCCTCTTCCAAAGTCTGCATATACTTATTCATGGTGTTTTATAAATTCCTTTCAGCTCCGCAACGCTGCCCATCACCTTCAGGTGCTTGGAAGAAAACAATGGTGTGGACAGGCGTATCACGAGGTTTGTTCTGCCCGTGGGAGCTACAATTAACATGGATGGTACTGCTCTGTATGAGGCCCTTGCAGCCATCTTCATTGCACAAGTCAATAACTATGAACTTGACTTCGGACAGATCATCACAATAAGGTGACTGTGGCTTTGGAAAGGATTATGGGGTTAGAAGAGGGACTCCAGTTTTGTTATCTGAGATGCAGTCAGGGTTCTCTTCTGCTTGGGAGATATGACAAGAAAAAAAAAGAGTGTGGAAAAGAAGGGTGAAACTTCCAGTTGTAGAAACAAATATGGTTTGGGCACCACATCTGAGGGGAGGGAGTAAAGAGGATGGGGCCAGACTCTTCTCCGTGGTGCTCAGTGATAGGAGAGGCAATGGGCACAAACTGAAACACAGGAAGTTCCATCTGAACATATGGAAAAACTGCTTGACTGTGAAGGTGACAGAGCACTGGAACAGGTTGCCCAGAGAGGTTGTGGAGTCTCCATTCTTGCAGATATTCAAAAGCCATCTGGATAGGGCGTTGGGCAATGTGCTCCAGCTGACCCTGCTTGAGCAGGGGGATGCAGTGCTGATGTCCCACGTCACCATCCTGCTCTGTGACCAAGGCAGAAAGGCTGCCAAGATTGTTTGCAGGTGATGAGTTCGAGCCACTTTCTGAGACTTGTAATACCATCCTTGCTGACATGACTCTGCAGCAGAAGTGCTGGGAAGCACCTCAAGACCTCAAAAGGACTTTGGGGTGCCTATGTGCTTTGGATGACTTCCTCCTTTCTTCAGATCTGTAGGCTGAATCTCCCCTGCCACTCCCACCTCTCCCCAGCAGGGCAGGAATTAACAGTTTGTGCTCAGATCTGATGGATGTATGCAGAGCTTCCCTTTGTTTTGACATTTGATTTCTCCCACAAGCCATGGCAGCAGGGCCACCATAGGTGATTGTATGGGACAGCTGCTAATGCAGATCAGTGTCTCCTCTTCTGGTCTTATAGCTTCCGAATTCATCTTTTAGCATTGAAAATTCTGGTCATTTCTTAGCAGGGACAAATATACATCTAGATCTCCCAGATGTGCAGGGTCATCTAGAAGGATAGCCACAGTTCATTTGACAACTCCAAAGAGTAGAGAGGCCATGAAACACAGACTATATCCTTTATTTTCCATTTGACTTTGTCTAGTTTTCAAATCCAGCCTTTGGATCTTGTCCTGACTCAAAAAAAATATACCCACACGAGCAGCACTTCATTTTGAGACCTGATTCAAAATAAATAGCTTTTTAACGTGGGTATATTCTTCCCAAGAGACAGTTAAGAACGCCACAAGTCAGCAGAGTTCGACTGGTGGCAGCAAGTCATGTACAGATCACACAGTGGAGAGGAAAAACACCACAGTGAGTGGCCGAGGCCTTGCCAAGGAATTACCTACTCTCTGGCCACAACGAGGCAGAAGCCTGTGGAATGCTAGCAACAACTGATGTGCTGAGAGACCATACTGCTTCATACCAGGGACAGAGCTGCAGCAGCATGATCGTTGTGCTGCAAGCATGTGACTTCTCAGTCCTCGTATCGTTCTAATAAAAATGGTAGTTGTTGGTGGTATTTCATAAGAAACGAGAAATACAAGGGAAATAACTTTGTGGCTTGGTTACGTTCCCACAGAATCACTGGGCACTGGCTGTTTGGAGCAGGCTAGGCACCAATTAAACGTACATTTGCTCTTCACAGCTGTGACTACCTCTTTTCTTCCCTTTGCTGATAGCTGTGCTTTCCTGTTCCCCCCAGCATCACCGCCACGGCAGCCAGCATTGGAGCTGCAGGTATTCCCCAAGCAGGACTGGTGACTATGGTCATAGTGTTGACCTCAGTGGGGCTGCCAACTGAAGACATTACGCTGATCATCGCTGTGGACTGGTTTCTGTGAGTTTTCTGCTCAGCAGCATGTACCGTTCTGTGCTTCCTGCCAGTGCTTACAGAGTTCATCTACACTCCCACTGTCTCTGCTACATGCAGGCTCAGTAACTTGTATCATTAACCTTGAAACACACCTTTATCCATGGGACCTTTGCACAGAGGTCACTTGCAGATCAGCTTGGTCACCAAGCAGAATGTCTTTAGTTTGCTTTATCTTGAAAAGCACACAGAAGCTATCTCCAGACCTTTAGGGACAGGTTGTGCCAGTAATGTGCAGATTTACACTGCAGAGGGATGGTTCTGCCCTACCAAACAAGGAAGGTGGGATAAGACTGGGCTATACAATACTGAGGAGTGTTTACATGGGTGCAGCTATCCAGCTCCATCTCTACTATCTTTCCCTTTTAAAACTTAGGACAAGCAATTTCACAAGAGTGCTCTTAGGAACCAAGTTGTTTGAAGAACGCATTTGTGCATAGCCTCTACTCTCTCAGTCTTCTCAAACACAGCTCCTGACTCAGCGATACACTGACAGTGTTTCCTGTTTTCTTGTATATCTTGTACTGCTGATTTGTAGTAAAGTCTGCTCCCAGCCATAGCTGAGCAGTTGGAAACAGAGCCTGGCCCAGCACCTCCAATTCTCCTGTGAACTGTGCGTAAGATCAGAATTAGCTGGAAAAGGCCCTCTTTCCCAAGATGCCAGGTTACCTCTTGTAGTTACCCAAAACGTTTGATTTCAGTCAGGTACAAAGAGTTAGGCGGCTGGATAGGAGGTGGCTTCAACTCTTACATGGCAATTGTGGTTGTGGAGAATATCTCATTTCACAGTGGACTTCAGCTTTGCTGTTTAGCATGAGGAGTCTGGTGCACCATCTTAGTGTATACTATCCACCCTCTGGAAATCTGATCCACAGCTGCACTAAGCCATATGTTTGTCCAGATTTTCTGCACTTTTTTGTTTTTTAAAAAACAAAACAAACAAAAAAACAACACAACTTAAGTATACCTGATGCTGCAAGGCTCATGTGAGTCTGCAGAAAGACCGAAGCAGACCTTTGGAGAGGAAGCTGCCAATGTTTCCCCGTATTTTGTGAGAAGTCCAAAACATTACAGTAAAAAATGGGGAGTGCAATGGAACAGGAACGATATGCAGGCTGGCACCTGCGGAGCTCAGGGTTAAGAACCAAGGAAAGCTCTCTAGGAGTCATGCAAACAGCCCTAACTGAAAGGCCTTCAATTGCATAAGCCCTGTTTGCTTGCGCAACCTTAAATGTTCAGCTCATCAGCTATTTTCCCATCAATGTTGAGGTGCCAGTTATTAGAGAAATGTGAGAAGTGAAGTTTCATTATAGGTGTTTCTTGAAATACTCTCCATCCCCTTGGTTGATACTGAGAAAATTGTATTTCATTTTTCTTCTCTCTGATTTTTCAGGGACCGCCTCAGAACAACCACCAATGTCCTGGGGGATTCTCTGGGTGCTGGCATCGTGGAGCATCTCTCCCGCCATGAGCTGGACGCACAGGACTGTGAACTTGGTAATTCTGTGACTGAGGAGAAAGAACAGTCCTCCCACCTGGTCTGCCCACAAAACAACATGCCCAAGCACCACAAGAGTGAGACAGCACTATGAAATCAGGCAGCAGAGTGTAGATTAAATGCTGTAAAAAGTCAAGACTTGAAACAGAAATACATAGTGGAGGACAGAGAAAGAGCCACTTTCCAAGATCCACCCCCCCATAATCTTCTCCTCATATGCAGCCTCTCCTAGTCCCTTTTCTCCCTCATCCTCTCTTGAACATCAGTCAGAAAGACAAAATTAAACTTTCTCTTACTTCAGAGTTGAATGTTTCTTGAGACACTGCTGTTAGACAACCAGCAAGTGCTGCAGGTGTAGTACCTAAGAAACTAGAGCCTGGACTGATTAGCATACAGGCTAGAGCATCCTGCGCACTACTAACCAGAAATCTGCAACAGCTGTTGTTACTTTTCCCCTGATTTCAGAGTCACAGTTTAGTCACTATGTAGCCTCCTCCTGTTTTAACTGCCTTGTAGGCACGCATGGCGTGCAAAAGCAAAAGGACTTAAAGCACCTGTCAGCCACCATCTGTCTTGATATTCCTTGGTATTTTGCAGTCTCTAGGTAAAGAACAATTAATTTTAAGTCACAATACTGTAAATGCAAAGAAAGATTTACTCCACGAAAGCCTGATTTAGCTATTCTTATTGGGGTCCTAGAGCTAGACCTGAGTACAAAATACTCAGTGAATGAGCTGCACTAGGAGCTCCCTCATTTCTGAGCTAAAGTATGAGCAAAGCTAAATGAGGTGGGACAGTGATATAACCACCTGTGGATTGGCACAAAAATGTTGTCCTGATGTCTCCTCCCTGCAAGATACAGCTGCAAAGCAGGGAAGCCTTTCTTGGTCAGTGGCTTCCCCCAAGAATAAGGCACTTTTCACACAGGCCATTCAGAGATCTCTGCAGAACCCCAGCACTCTTGTTCAACTCCTAACTGGCAACAGTGTTTACGGTAAACAGGCGGAGTCTTACTCATGCAGCAGAAGCCACACAGGGAAGGTATAGGACAGTCATGCCCTTCCTGCAGTCTGCTAGTGCTGCCCGCTGCAGCGCAAGCTTCAGTCCATCTGCAATAGCAGATATGTGCTAAGGCAGTCCTCTCCTTTCTCACAGTCCTGGTGTTTGTACATAATGTTGCTAATGCTTCCCAAGAACTTCTCACTTCTCTAGTAGCCTTTCTGAATGTAGACATTAGAGTCCCCCAGCTCCTGAAGAAACGTGGGGATCATACAGCAGGGACAGGGCTTACTGTGCTGGCTGGTAGCACAAACAGGGGTCAAAAGCTTTTCATTAGTGGAAGCAACTAAAGGATTATGAAAGCAGCAAAGAAAGAACTGATCAGGTCCATTATCTAGCCTGTGAACCAACTCTTCCCTCTACTGAGCTCAGCCAAACAGCAGCTAACTTTGTTTCTTTTGGAAAGCAGCTCTCCTCCTGCAATAGTTTGCCTGCCTGAGCAGCTGTAGTACCTCCATGCCAGCAATGACTCCTTGCTACCCCAGATTCGCTCAGAAAACAACTTTATTCTTCAACACAAAACTCCGAGGAAAGAGTTCCTCTGCTCATCTTAACTACTATTTGCAGAAGCTCATCCCCTTCAGATACATTGTTCCAGAACCTGCTTCAAAATATATCTGTCTTTTACCGCTCGTCATCTTTTATGGTGCACAGCTGGTTCTCAGCTTTCTGGCAATTGTACAAGCTTGCCAGATCCCTAGCTTATAAATACAGAGGTCCCTTCAGGATGCATTTCTCTGTTCCTACCAAATAGAGCTCAGCTTCTGTTTAACACACTTGGGCATAAGCCCACACGACATTTGGCACATCTGAGAGGTCCAAGCAACAAATAGGGACCTGCTTCATCCATGCTCTGCCCCCTACCATGGAATGGCCAGAAATATGGTATGCATCTCTCACTTCAGTAAGCAGAATCAGCAGGACTTGCTCCATAATCTCCATGTCCATGAACACCCAGAAAATTAATGTCTAGATGCAACCAGAAGGTGGAAAGGATCCACAGTTTTGCAGCTACTAAATGTAATAGTCCTGCTCGAGAAATGGCTAAGCCGAGAAACAGAAGCAAGCAGCCTCCTGTGGCACAGCCAATCTATCTAAACTGAGCAGCTTTTACTTGAGGATATCAGTCAGTTGACTCATTGCTTCCAACTCAGTTTATTGATTAAACCTCTTCCATCCTCGCTTTGCAGGCTGATCCTTTTCATCCAAAAACCCTAGCCATATACTCAGAGGCGCACCTGAGTGCGCTTCAGGAAGGAAGACCTCAGAGGCATCTGCTGGAGTCAACTTGGAGCCAATCAGAACCACACCTTCCCATGCTCAGCTCCTCAGCAATAACAATGCTCTCTAAAACACACTTCTTGACGTGCCCAAAGCCAGATCCTCTGGTTCTTGTTGATCCTTCAGGAACTGCAGGATTATATATATTGGTGCTGCCACTGTTCCACATCACGTAGGCAAACAGTTGTCTGTCTTTATGGGCTGGAAGATATTTGGGAATCTGAGATAAATGACCAAACATGTCTCTTTCAAATAAAAATAGACAACAGAACAGGACAGATTCAAATGTATTGTAGTTCTATTAAGGAGTTGCTGACCCCAGAACATAAGGCAGCTGGCTGTTTCCTGACTCTGGGAGGTACGTTGCTTATCTGACATCTGCTCTAGCAGAGGTCAAACTGTGGTCACACAGTTATGTAACTGGCTGCTCTTATCAAATCCCATTCCTATTCTGTGAATCAAAAGATCCTTAGATGCACAGTTTTTTACTTCCTGCATGCTTTAGCTGATGAAGAGCACCCTTCCTTCCCCTTTTGAGGCTGAGTCATCAGTAAAAGCAACTAAAAGTAACTGCAGATTAGATGCCCAGAGGTATCTCGATCACTCCAAGCTGATGTTTAGGATTTTTCTGAACTGGCTTAGTGGAGAGCCATTACTGATAAGCAGGAGAAGATAATAAGCTCTTCCATCGGAATATATGTGGCTCAAGAAAATGGTATTGTGTGGAATATGTATGGAATTTAGTCAGGAAAAATTTCATTTGCAACTAGCCATAGCTTTTTCTTAAGTTGTGATGGATACAGGAATGTAAGAGGAATGATTAAAAAATCTATCAGCTCAGGCACTGTTGACACTGAACCTGACCTGTGCACAACAACCAGACAATGAAGATTATGTCTCCTCTATTTCTGCTAAAGGGAAGGAGGAGGTGAGAGGGAATTAGACTCTCGTTCATCAAAGATCAAACTGAGATGATAATCCATCAGTTTGTATAAGCCTTGGCTTATACAGATAAATGTTTAGGAGAACTTTTTTCAGGTTAGAGGCAGGTACAGAAGAGAAAAACTACCCTGAGCCTTAGCAATAAGCTGCATTCTTCATCCTCGTTACTGCCACAATAACATCAACAGACTATTCCTGTCTGGACTTTCTCAGTGTTAAGGCCTGAACTAGGCTATTTAATATAAACAAAATTAAGTTGGTTAGACTATAAACTTCTGCATCGCAGCTCAGCTCTGGAAAAAAGTCATTCTAACAAACTAAGAGAGGACCCCAGGAGTTCTGGATAACACTGTTTTCCTATCCTTAACCTCCTGAGGCGTGCCCATGGTCAGAGATCCCAGAGGGAAGGCTGACCACACCTCTAGGTCAGGATCATAGGCACCAAACCAGACCACCTATCCTAAACAGGTGACTTTCTATCTGTGTTTCAGTTTATACAGCTGTTAAACAGGACTTACTTTAGCCCTCTTGACAAAACACTTTGAAATAAGCAGATGTAAACTGCTGCATAACCTCTTACCGGGGAAGGGCAGAACGCACCTTTAGCCAGAAACGTAGCTACAATATCAAGGTTGCAAAGTCTAAAACAAGACAAGAGTTATGTATTAACATGCTTATTCCTAATTTTCTGTGAACTTACTGGAGACCAATTTTGAGGCAAAACTAAGCCTTCCGAGCAGAAAAAAAGAATATTTGATTCACAGCAGCGTTTGCCATTCTCCATGTTCCAGCAAAGCATTGTAAATGTTCACAATTTAGGAGCAACTTCTAGAAGGAAAATAATTCTGGGACTGGGACTGTAAATAACACTCACATGAATACATCACTCAGGGATTCTTGCAATGCTAAGAGGCAAGAGAATCCACCTGCTTAAATCTTCCTGGCCATAATTACGTGCTGTTTCTACCCAGGAATAGAGCAGTTGTTGTGACTTTCATCATATATATATTTAGGCCATCCTGTGCAGGAGGAGCTAGTCCCAAAACAGTCCCCAAAGGTGCCTATTAAAACTCTTCCAATCTCTATGTGTTCCAGGGCATTTTTTTCAAACATAACTCTCTCTTGTTGCAATGCAAGCACATTATTTCTTGTCCTGCCCCAGTGAGCAGGATAACAAGTTATTATCCTCCTCTTTGCAGCATTTTTAACATGTTTGAATACGATTATAATGTCTGCTCTTCTCCTTTCTAGACTAAACAGACCCAGTTCTTTCAGTATACCCTCACAGGTAATAATCATTCATGTTCCTCTCCTCTGGACTTTTTCCTTGTTGTTCCACATCTTTCTTAAAGTGGAGTAACTAAAGTTTGACACCATAAACCAAGTAAAGACTTATTAGTGCTGAGCACTGAGGAAAGAATATTTCATGTACATTAAGATGTAGATCTTAGACTCAAGTTACCGTAGTTTAACAGAATACTATGCATCAACTGATCATTGTAACTGTCCATGAGGCATACATGCAGCAAATTCAAGTCTGCTCAGTTTATTTTAAATCTTAGTGAGGTTAGACCCTAACTTGGATGAGATGGTTATACCTAAAGACTCGATCTTAATCAAAGAGTTTTAAGATTTGTTGCACTAGCTTGTATTTACAGTGGATTGAAGAGAGCACTAACTTACCATTACCACAGATCTGCTGACATGGTAACATGAGTCTAAACCTTTCTAAAGAACGCTCCTGCTTATAAAACCCAACAAAGCGCTTGATTTTTTTCACTTCAGCATGATAGCATTGAGTCCACTCAGGCTGTGATCCATGGTAATCCCGCCATAATTTTAAAGAGAATTGCTGCATAGCTAGCAATTTCCCAGCCTGTGTTTGTGCAATTGAATACAACCTGAGTACAGTAAATTATATTTGTTTATATTTAATTTTTTTCTTTCTTTCTTTTTTTTCCCCAGACTATTTTTCCAACTTATCAAGAAAGCACTGAATTCTAATCCTGAAGAAATTTGCTGCGTATGAAGGGTAATGGATGACTGAACTGGAAAAAAAGATTGTGAGACTGGACATCAGTTCAAATGTGAATTAATTCTGGGAAGTTCTATGGCCTGGATTATACAGAGAGTCAAACTAGATGATCATAAGGGTCCCTTCTGGCTTTATAATCTACGCATATCCTTTCTGGTTTAGAGATATTGCAAAGGGTCCTTTTAGCCAGATCATTTTTAAAAAGCTATCTGGAAGGATCCTAATGATACTTTAATAAAACTCAGCAGGACTCTAACCTGTTTTCATGTCACAAAAGGGGCTCTCCATATTACATTGTATCTCAGATGTTCCCACAAAGTAGCACACTTCAAGCTTTTCCATTTGTGATTTCCTGCTTTCAACATAATATTAAAAATGGAGCACAGATAAGTAGAGCCCTCATTTTCAACTGGTGCAAACCACTCTGCCATGGGGAATTTCAGCTGATATTTTTTAGCTCTGGCATTTACCCATGTTGTTAACCAATTTATGATTGACATTATGTCTTTCTTTTTACAGTATCCAAACAGTAAATTAATTTCAGGAATTTGCATATACATATACATATATATATAAAACATATAGTTACAGATACATATGAAAGCGAGCGGCATGTGCACAAACACACACATACACACAGAGCTGTTGCTAGAGCTGTTCCAAGAAAGAAAGATAAGATAATACTAAACTCACTTTGTAAAGTTGCATACTCAATTATGATGCCCAACTTGATTACACCAACTAATCCCATCCTTAAAACAGCAGACACTATTTTACACCATTTCACTAGTAAGCCTTCCAAAGGAAGCTCTGTCACGAAGAATCATCCATGCTGATTTTGAGTTGTACTTGCTGGTGACATAACTAGAACTTTTGTGTAGAGGGAACATGTAGAGAGAATTCTTCACTTCATTTTCTGAATTCCCAAGGACCCATGTCCCTGCTGTGTCTGACTTTGCAATGAGGCTGGCTTTAAGATCACAGCCAAATATACAAAAGTGTTTGTACTCTTTCCAAACCCAAGATTACCCTTGTTCTAACTTGGCCTTCAAAACTGGATAGCTGAAAATATTAAATCATTTTATCAATTGTCTTTTTAAATTGCCAGTTATTTGAGAGTTTATGCAATCTTTTCTTTACTGCAGTCCTGCTGCTTCTACTTTCAGAAATGTTCTGAGTTGTTCTCCTATTTGCAAATAGATTTATTCCTAATGATTAGATGGGCAATATGTGGGATGAAGCAGGGAGCTTTCTCAATGCATAAATACACAATGAGCTTTTTTGACCAGGACACATCTTTTCAAAATGAATTTTAAGAGAGAAAATTCATGGAGAACATGGATTTTCAGGCAATAGGTAATGTGTCACATTAAATACTGACATGGACCTGAACATGTGATAGGTGCACATTGCTTCAGGAGCCACATCTGCCCAGGAAATCTGCCCTGAAATTCTATCCTTCTTTTGCTCTACCCAAGGATGAAAGAGAGAACTAGAAATCACTGTTGTATAGTATGTTCATAGCATTCTGGCAGGCTGACTATGTTAATTCCTGAGGGCTTTCTCTTTATGCTGTGAGTTTCAGTGTTAATAGTTTGCATATTTGAAAAATAAAGGGATTTTTTCCATGATGCTTTTCCATGATGATGTTTTTCTATTCTTTTTCCTCAGAAGCATGACCTGACAAAGTTAGGGATGTATCTTTAGCATTATGTATTACACTTCCTTATCTCCATGTACCTATGTCATGGGTCAAATACTGAAATCAAACTCTTACAAGGCCTTCTCCTAAAGCTTTTGCTTTGATACCAGCTTTTGCGTATGTCTATAAACTGGCAAAGTTGCACAGGCTGACCTTGTCCAGTCAGGTTTTGAATATCTCCAAGGACGGAGACTCCACAGCCTCTCTGAGCAACTCATTCCAGTGTTTGATCACCCTTACAGTAAAAAAGCTTTTTCTTTATTTAAATGAAATTTACTGTATTTAAGTTTGTACCCATTGCCTCTTGTCCTTTCACTGGATATCACTGAGAAGAGTCCAGCTCTGTCTTTACTTCCTCCTATCAGCCTAAAAGGTTTTCCCCGAGCTTTCTGAGCTGCTGGTGTTCTACCAAGACCAGAACCTGGAAGCTCTTTAGAGTAACCACATAGCCTACTGAACCCAGTTGTGCCCTTCCTGCACAGTCCCACCTCTATGCACAGGTAGTGGAAGCCTCCTTGAGGTCCAGAAAGATGGTCCCGTCAAGCATCATCAAGATCAGCAGTTTCCTCAGTGATGGCCAGCAGGACTTGGTGGACTTTACTCCGCTTGCCTGACATTTGGGATGGCTCATTCACCATGTTCCACCCGCTTTGCTGCAGGAGAAGGCTGCCTTGAATCCTTAAATCCTCTCCTATTGCGGATGAGTCCTGCTGGAAGGTAGTCCTCATCCACTTCTTAGCCTGAGGGCCTCTTTCTCAGACCTCTGTCCCAAAAGGCCCCCTGCTTATCCAACACATGCCATCCGAGTTGGGTGCCTTGAACTGTGCTTGGAATTATATGTACGTGCCGTGCTTTACTCCATTTCCTTGTCCTCCCACTAGCGCCCACCTATTTGGAGAAGGCAAAGAACCCTGATGGTCCAGCTTAGATTCAAATCTCATTTCTTGGCCTAGTGAGGATGAGGTTGGAAAATCCTTACAGAACAGTGGCTGGAAACATGTTCACAGGATCCCCTGACTAAGGCCCCTTCTGTAGTGAGAGGGTGGCCCTGCCACACAGGTAGAGAAAGTGCACAAGGCTGTGGCCTCTCTCCCAGATCCTCTTGTCGATGGTCCTGGCCTTACTTACATCTCACCCACACAGGAGTCACAAGACCTCCTCAGCAGCCTCTCCTGGCCATGGTGGCTATCCACAGAATCAGTAGGAGGTCTCAGAGGGGTAATCCCAACAATTCTAGGGGCTGTGTCCAGTCCATCTTCTGGGCACATTTCGAGTTAGAGCACCACTGGGACGCTTCCTGGTAGCGGCATGTGCTGCCAGGGGTGCTCTGCTCAGAGTCCCCTCTCGTTCTCCGGTTTTTGTTTTTGTTGGTTTTTTTTGGGGGGGGGGGCTTTTCTCGCACATCCATTTCCCTTCATTTGTTGTACCTAAGATCACTTGGTTTCTGTACGTCCTCTTTCTCCCTAGTCTCCCACCCCCTTCCAGGGAGTGCTGTGAGGATGAGTCACGGCGGGGCCGACACAGAACAGCAGTGCTAAGAGAAGTTACTTTGGGAGAGCACCTGAGCCTAGCCGCTATCTGTCTTCCCCTCCCCTTCTCCTCCCTCAGAATATCAACCTGTCCGGGACTTTCAAGCCTTCTTCCTACTCCTATCACCTACACCTCGCTCCCGCAAGCCGCCGGCACTCTACCGGGACCGAGGCTCGAACACGCG